CAGAGAGGCTGTGGAGTCTCCTTCTCTGGCGATCTTCCAAACCCACCTGGATGCCACCGTGTGCCACGTGCTCTGGGTGTCCCTGCTGGAGCAGGGGTTTGGACTAGATGATCTCTAGAGGTCCCTTCCAACCTCAATCATTCTGTGATTCTTTGATTAGATAGGTTTCAGCTACAAGAGGAATTCTAGTAACACATACCAGAACTGGTAATCTAATGCCTCAGAAATATGTAGAAAATTAAAGATTTTTCTTCTCTAAAAGCCAGAGTCTTAGAAAGGAAGATTCCTACCGATGAATTTTGTGCTGGACTACAGTTTCCAGTGATCAAAGACACAAAGACTTAAACTACATCAGGAGCAAACAAACAAACCAAAACAAAGACAAAAAGCTGATACATTCATTAAATTTAGTAAAGTTTCTCCATGGTACCATAAGATCTTTTTTAAATAGGACCACTACGAAAATAAGATAAAGCTACTTTCCTCCATTACTATTGGTATCATTTTGGAATTACACCACCAAAAATACACATTTCCAAGTTTCCTCCAGACTGTACTAGAGGTGCTTGCCCTTGCTTTGGATCTACAGCTCCCGTAGTATGTGTGTCAATATGTGTTATGTATCAACAAATTTTCTTCTTTTTGCTACTCACAAGACAGTATCATGAATAAATATGTTTAAATGCATTCTGATACACAAAAATGAAAACCTGATGCTGAAGAATTATGTTGTTACATCAAAACTCTATGCCAAAGACAGTGATTACTGGAAAATACAGTATTTCAGTTGTTCCTTCTGATAAGATTCTTAGGGAGAGGAGAAAATCACATACAGTCTCCAAGAGAGATTTCCTGAGTTTTTCATTCTTTCTGTAAAAGTTATCTATTCCAAAAGAATTTCAGTTATCAACTCTTTCAACTACCAACTATTTCTGCTACTAATGGTGTCTGTGTTTCAGTGGCCATGGCAGAGTACATGCAGGATAACAAAGTTCAGTTCCTGCTGTTGAGACAACTATACCAGAGGACATAATCTAAAAAAAAGAAGATGAGTCAGAGGTAAAGAAGATAAAGAGTAGGAAGGGTGCACAAAATAAGAAGACAAAGTGTATATGATATACACCCTCTGAGATAGTGAGGCATTTGTGCAGAAGGACTGACATACACTATGTGGGTAGATCAGGTCCCGCATGCCAGCTTTCTGGCTCTAGGAAGACAATTTAAGAAGCAATAAAGAAGGAGAAAAAGATCCTAAAAGAGACATTAAAACCAGTTTTACCTGAGAGGTCAATGGGTGTGGAAAAGTTAAACACAAGCTGGAGGAGATGGCAACCTCAGCTGCAAGACTCAGGCACCCGAGCCAAAACACGGCTGAGCTGCCATGGGAGTGGCAAGACGAAAGTCATAAAGAAAGGTGGATGGAACAAGGTTTTTGTTTTTGACTCGACTTGAAAAGTTTCACATGCAGAAAATGCAGAAATGCAGAGAACACCTGGAGTCAAAAAGGATACTGGGAAAGCAGTTTCCATAAACAGAAAGCATGTGCTAAGAGGACATAGAGGACATGCTGCTACTACAGGAAAAGAATAAGAGGAAGGAATAACATAGCAACAAAGAAGAAAGATGCTTATAAGTGGAATTAAATTGTATATTTGAGTGATGGGGGAAATCACTAACCAATGTTACCGAAGAGACATAGATGGGTTTTTTTTTTCTTAAGTGGGATAATGAAGGTAATGAACTGTAAACCTAAGCTAGAATT